CCAACTCAAGCCGAGAGGGTTGGAGCAGGGAAGCCACTAGCTTCCTAGCAGGGCTTCCTTACCCACTGTCCCCATTCTCTGTGGACAAGCTGGGTGGCTGACAGCCCTGCCTCAAAGCCACTGTGCCTTCTCAGGGCTCCCTGTCAGAGAGAGCCTTCTCCCTCCTGCTGTGTGGGCCAGAGGGGCCTCGGGGTTGCTGGGCTGGTGCCCCTGTCTGCTCCCGGAGACAGTGGGCGGGAAGACCCTGACAAGATGCAGGAGTGGGCAGGAAGGAACATTGAGGAAGGAACCCAGAGCCCCTCTGCCCCTCTTCAGCCTCAGCTTGCAGAAGCTCAAGACCCTCTAAAACCCTCTGCATGCTAGAGGACCCTAAGGCAGGGCGGTGGCCCCTGCCTGCATTATGTCTAAATGGGAAATAGCCTAGTGCTGCCCCTTCATGTGAATATGGTGACCCTCAGGGAGGGAGAGGAGAGGTCCACATGCAGGCACAGGAGGTAAGATGCCGGATTTGGGATGTGTGTTGCCCCTGCCCAGCTGCTGCTCACTTGGAGCCCTCCCTGGTGGCAGCAACCTCGGGACCAGGGGCATGTTCAGGAGCTCTGGGAAGGGTCAGAAAAGAACCATGGCCAGGACTTGTGGTGAGCTGGACCCAGGAGAGGGAGAAAGAGGATGGACAGCATTTAAGCGTGGAGCTGGGGACAGATGGGGGGAGCAGAAAGCAGGTGGGTTTGGGGATGGGGAGTAGCTTAGACACATTGACACTGAAGCCCCTGCTGCTCCAATCCACTCTCAGCCCAGGGCCCAGCCCCCAGTGGTACCGCATGCTGTGCTGTGGGAAGCGGCTGGTGCTGTGGAGAGGTGCTGGTCTGGATGCCTGGATTTGATGCTCTCATTCATTTACTCTGCAAATGTCCACTGACACTTACGTGTGCCAGGAAAGACCTGGGCCCTGCTCCCAACAGGTCTCCAACTCCATCAGGGAGACCAATAATAACACAGTTGACATATAATTACAAATAGTGATGAATATAATGAAGAAAACAGACAGGAAGATGGGGAAAGGGAGGAGAGAAGTTTCTTAGCAGAAGAAAGAGAATACAAAGGTCCTGGGGCAGAAAAAGAGAAAGTTCTAATTGCTGCTGGAGCCAGGTCAGGGAAGCATCCCTTGGAATGGAGGATCAGGAGGGTTTGAACCTTGGGGTTTGTGAAGATCATTAGGTGGCAGCAAGATTTTATGTTGTCGGACACAGAATATGCTACCCCAAAATAGGAAGGATTGTTGAGCTGAAGACCACTGAGAAAGAGCAGGCACAGGAAAGCCCCCTGTCCTCCTTCTATTTGCCTAAAAGCAGGATATAAATTTACAAAGACAAAAGTAGTTGCCCTCCTTCTACGAGGGAAGACAAGGCTAACCACTGAAGGTGACATTGGACCCTTATTATGTCTGGAGACAATATCAGAAGAGCCTGTGGGAACAGCTTCAACAACCAGCCTCAGTTTCCATTGATTTTCCTTCCCCCAAGTTACCTCCTAGAGGCTCAAAATCCTTTGTTTTTTCCTTAGCACTTCTCTAAAAGTTTTCTTTCTGAAGATGCTATGTAAGCTGAAATCTAAAGCCAAAGTCCCTCTTAGAAAACTATTCATTCCCTGGTATGAAATATACATGTTAATAAGCTTGTGTTCGTTCTCTCTCTCTCTCTCTCTCTCTCTCTCTCTCTCTCTTTCTCTCTCTGTCTCTCAGTATTGAACTGAACCCAGTGCTTCACGCATGCTAGGCGAGCACTCTCAGCTCCGTCTTTGTCTGTCCGGGAGACAGAATCAACAGGACACGGGTGGGAAGCAAGGGGAGCAGTTGACAATGGAAGGAAGAGTGACAGCTCCTCCTACCAAAAGCTTCTTGTTTGGGCTGCTGGGTGGTTGGCAGTGCTACTCAGGGGTACAGGACTGAGGGGTGAGTAGGAAACCATGAACTCTGTGAGCTTGAACAAGATACTTCCTTTCTCCGAGTTTGCAACTAGGAGTGCCAGGCCACAGGCCCAATTCCAGGGTTCCACACGCCAGGTCAGGCCACTCACCCCAATACGCCAAATAAAGAAGGGAAGGAAAGTGGGGAAAGGCAGAGAAAGGACATTTGTTCTGCAGCACGGGCGTCTCAGGAAGGGGCAAAGGAAGCACTTCGGCCAGTCTTTGGGGTATGGACCTGAGCGTCAGGTTTAACTAGAGGAAGACTTGGGGCAGGGGGTGGGAGGGGGTGCAGAGTAAGTATTAAAGAGTCACTGAGGTGCGGTCAGGCGTGGCCCTGTTGACTATCTGTGGATGGTCATGTGGTCAGATAAGGAAGTCATTGGTACCTGTGGGTAGCTTGATTTGTTTATTTTGGCGGTACAGGGTTTGAACTCGGGCAGGGCCTCATGCTTGTTAGGAAGCGATCTACCTCTTGAGTCAAGCCAATAGCTTGACTCTTATCACAAGATGTTATCAGTCAGTCCTGTCCTTCCTGGAACCCAAGGTGACTGCAGAGAGAGCAGCTCAGAGCGAGATCAATAATAAAATGGAGGCAGGAATGCCAAGTTTTTCTTCTTTTAATTAACTTTTGGGCTCAAGGGAGGAGTGCTTTTTAACAAAAGCAGATTCTAAGTACCTGCTAGAAGTTTCTCTGGGCACAGTCAAAGCCCCACCTCACAGTGCTCATTCAAGAAATTCAGTTTTGAGAAATTCCAACTACCGTTAAGATTGTCAATGCAAATACTAAGAATTCTGCGAGGAACAGTAGCACACGTCTGTAATATACCCCTCGGGAGGGACGAGGAGCAAGGGGATCTCAAGTCTAAGACCAGCCTGGGCTACCTAGCAAGACCATCTCAAGAAAACAAAGATAAAAAGAAACAAAACTAAGCAAGGTGGCCGATGCCTGTAACCCCAGCTACTCAGGAGGCAGAGATCAAGAGGATCACAGTTCAAGCCCAGCCTAGGCAAAAAGTTAATGAGACCCCATCTCAGTCAATAAGCTGCGCAGTTGTGGGTGCACCTGTGATCCCAGCTGCACAGGAGGTACAGGTGGGAGGTTGTGGTCTGATGTGTCCTCACGCAAAACCAAGAGATCCTATCTGAAAAATAATTAAAAGCAAGAAAGAGCTGGAGGCATGGCTCAAGTGGTAGAGAGCCTGCCTAGCAAGCAGGAGACTCTGAGTTTCTGAGTTCAAATACCAGTACTTCCAAAAAAAAAAGAAGAAGAAAGAAACAAATTCCTCTGTGGGGAGCCCAGTGGAGTTTGGAAACATACGGAGCTGGTCTCATTAAGCCTAGAGCACAGCAAAGAACCATGTCCCTGCTGGCCCATGGGCCAGAGAAAAGGGAGGGTCCACCGCCCTCCTTATCCTGCCACACCCCCAGACACCGCCCTTCAGCAGGCTGCTCCCTTTCAGAGCTGCAGTTGGACCCCTTGTGGCCTTCAGCGTGACCCCAAGGGCAAAGAGGAATCAATTTGTGCAGGGAAGTGAAAAGAAAGAGATTTCAATTGACCTTTGAATGGGGTTTTAATTTGCTTTATTGCAGGCAAAGGGGCCTCTTGAAGAGCCCCTTGAGACTGCTTTTATCTGCTAATGCGTGCATTAGCCAGCAGCTTGCCACAGCCACAGCCGGGGCCAGAGCAGAGCAGGGTGGGGGAGAAGCAGAAGGGGGCAAGGTAACCCGGGGTCCAGCTCCAGTCCTGTGACCCATGGTCTTGGCACCTGGGCCAGTCACCTCCCCTCTGAACAGTGTGTGATTGGTGGTGGGGGCTCAATGGCCTTTGGTCCTTTCCAGGCCTGGTGCTCTGTAGATTCAAGCTCAGATCTAGAAGGGAACTCTGGGAGGAACAGGAGGCATATAGAAGGTGACCCCCCCAGTAGACACAGCAGAGCCCTCTGAGCTGGAGCGCTATGCTCTGTCCCTCTGTCTCTCAGGTGTTCCTTTCTGTTGGAATATCTGCTCCATCCATAACCAGGAGTTCTAGATCTCAGGCCCAGTTCCAGGGTTCCACGTGTCAGGTCTGACCACTCACCCCAATACGCCAAAGAAAGAGATGAGTAGTGGTGAAAGGAGGAGAAAGGGCATTTATTACATGGCACGGGCGTCTCAGGAGAGGCAAAGGAAGCACCCGGCCAGTCTTTGGGATACAGACATGAGCTGTGGGTTTAGCTAGAGGAAGACTTGGGCGGGGGTGGGGGGTGTACAGAATCATTGAACAGACCCAATCAAAGTGTGGTACACTGGTCACAGGTGTGGTCTGCTTGATGTCATCTCAGGATTGGTCAGGTGGGGCCTGGTCACAGTAAGAAAGCCACTGCTGCCTGCAGGGAGAGCTTTGACTCTTGTCAGAGGGTATTTATTCACCAGTCCTGTCCTTCCTGGATTCCAAGGTGGCTGACTGCAGGAGAGAATGCCTTAGAGCAAAGAACTAGGTACAAAATGGAGACAGATGCCAAGGTTTCCTCCCGCTTTTAGTTCATTCGTGGGTCCAAGCGAGGAGTCAGTATTTTCAGCAAAAGCGGTTGCTAAATACCTACTATTCAGTCTCTCCCGGGGCGTCCAGTTGTCTGTCCTGCCAATCCCAGAGGAAGCCAGTGGGGTCACTTGATTAATTACCACCACTCAGCACCAGGCAGCCACCTACAGGAACCAGGCCGTTTGTGGATGGCCAGCACGGGTCAAAGTTCCCTGTAACACTTCTAAACACAGGGCCCACTTTTAGGGTCAGGGCCCAGTGCAAAGCCTGTGACTTTGATGCACTGTCTTGTGTCAGAAATGGCCTCCCTCCGCTCCCTGGACTCCGTGTGGGCGAGTTTCTTTCTAGAGCCACATGGGCCCTTTCATAAGCACTGCCTTAGCCCAGTCCCTGTTTCAAACGAAGGCTTTGTTCCTGGGCAATCAGAATGGACTTCCTGGAGCGGGGAGGCTCTTTGGTGAAGATGCCATGGACGTTATACTCACACCAGGTTCTCCTAGATGACGTCCCTGAGGCCACTCAGTCCAAACAGAGCCCAGATGGCAGCAGCCTCCATGCTGATTCAGTGGTGGCCACAATGGTCCTTGAGTTGGGGAGGTGCCTTTGTTGGGACACTGCTCCCCCAGAGGAATGCAGAGTCCTCCAGCAGGGCCTGAGGTAGGGAGAGTGACGTGGTGGCCAGGAAGGACACTGGTAATGCACATCCATTAGTGTCTCAAGGGAAAAGCATTCAGAAGTCACGGAACTGCCTGCCTCCCCCAGTCCCACAATGGGGCTGAAGTGGCCTTTTTACAGCACTCAGCTCGTTCCCTCCCGAAGCCCTGCCCGCTGGGTGTCCTGTTTCCATGCCTGCAGCCAGGGGAACAAAGCAGCCCTGACTGCAGATCCAAAAACTGCCTGCCTGAAGCCTGTAGAGCCCTTGCTGTGCCCAGTTCTGGTGTCCCCAGAGGGACACCAGCCCTGGGGAGGAGGTGGTGCAGGGTGACCTGCTCTGCAGCAGCTCCAAGAGTCCATTGCTCTTTGTGTGTGTGTGTGTGTGTGTGACACGTGAGGATTCAAGGACATCTGAAAGGTAGTCTGGTTTGTGTTTTATAATTCACCAAACCTTTCTGCGAATTGAGAGCCTGTCCCTCCAGGCCTGTCCTTCCAAAGTGTCCCCCCTGGCATCTTCCTTGATGCCATGGTGGGGCTGGGGTTCAAACTCAGAGCTTCATGCTCGAAAAGCAGGCACTCTACTGTTGAGCCACACCTCCCGTCTACTTTTGCTCTGGTTATTTTTGGAGATTTTGGTCTCATGAACTATTGGCCCAAGCTGGTCTCGAACCTCAATTCTCCCAATCTCAGCCTCCCAAGTAGCTAGGATTACAGGTATGAGCCACCAGCGCCCTGCAAAAGTCACAGTTTTTAAAGGTATCAGTTAGGTTTCTTTTATTTCCCCTTTACATTATAGTTCAGTCTTTATATTGATTTTGTTTTGGTGAGTCTGGGATTCAAACTCAGGATCAGGGTCTGAGGTTGGCCCTGGGCAAAATGAACAAAACGCTATCCAAAAAAATAACTAAAGCAAAAAAAGGGCTGGGGATGTAATTTAAGTGGCAGAGCACCAGCCTAGCAAGCACAAGGCCCTGAGTCCAAATCCCAGTACCCAAAACAAAAGATTATGAACAGGCAGAAAGACCTATTCGAATGGATCTGAGAATCACTAGAAAAGGGAGGAAAGGAAATGACTGAGGTTCCCCCAGGGAACTTTCTGGTGATGAAAATGGTCTCCAATCTTTTTTTTTTTAAATAGACTTATTTTTAGCAGTTTTAGGTTTACATTTATTTTGTTCTAATATGGATCCAGAAAACATCCACACATTGCCTTTGGTTGGAAGCTTCTGAAGTCTCTCTGAATTGGTAACAGTCCCTCCTCCTTTCTTTTATGCAATTTATTTTCTTGGGAGCACTTTTCTTTCCTTTTTTTTTTTTTTTTTTTTGCTGCTTAGGATTTGAACTCGGCCTCATGCTTGCTAGACAGGCACTCTACCACTTAAGCTACTCTACTCCACCAGCTCTTTTTGTGGTTGGTTTTTATGAGATAGGGTCTTGAGAACTATCTGCCCAGGGCTGGCTTTGAACTGTGGTCCTCCTGACCTCTGCCTCCTATGTAGCTAGGACTATAAGCGTGAGCCACTGGTGCCCGAATTGGGAGCACTTTTTAACTGGCTTTGGACGATACACCGAGCCACTGCCCCTATTCCCTCTCCACTCAGTGTAACTGTGGCCTCTCTGCAGCTACAACCTGCTCCTGTCTGTCACCCTGCCTGCCACCCCAACTTGAACTTCTAGAAGTTACTCAGAGCAACAAGGAGTCTTACCTTAAGGGGCCACCACTCTGACAGGAAGTCAGTGGCCCCACAGCCAAATGACCCAATGTAACCTATCTTCTTCCGGTCGCCACATGGGGGCTACAGACATTTGAAGGCACTTGCCTGGGTTACAGTGGGGACACCTCTGACCTGAGAATGAACCTGGGTCTCCCTAAGTGGAAGATGCAGTATGTTAAGATTCTCCCTAATCATTTTGTCACTGGAAGTCCAATATGCTATCCGTTGAGTGCCACCTTGGTCACTCAACAAATACTTACAAATCTCCAACCATGTGCCAGGCACTGCTTCCAGCCAGGCCAGCATTCAGCAGGGAATGTGACATGGCCCTGCCCTCCTGGAGCTTCCATGCCACCTGGGGGAGGGCACAATAAGCACAGGGGACAGGAGAGAGGCTGCTAAGTGTGGTGGGAATGTGCACCTTGAAAATCAAGAAGCACTGTAAAGGGCAGTGGGAGTATGGGTGGCTATGATGGTCCCTGCGATAAGGTGACATGCAGCAGAGACCCAGAGGGAGGGAGGGAAAATCCTCCAGATGGTGGAGCCAGGGCATCTGGGCAAAGGAACAGCAAGTGCAAGAACCTTGACTCCTGCACATTTGGGCAACATGAGGATGTGGCTAGGACAGAGCGGAGGGGCCCTGAGGGCCTGGGCTGTCACTCTGACCACGATGGGACCTCGCCAGTCCTACCCCACAGTGTTTTGGTGGAGGCTCGGCAGAATCTTAGGATGTCTTATTAGAGACACAGTGGCTACAAGGGCCCTTTGAGACTACTGCAGGTCCCATGGCAACTGATGATGGCTGCCGATGCAGGCCAGGGTAGAAGCAGGGGGGCTGGGAGGAGTGGCCAGAGTTGGAGGTCCTGTGCAGGCAGAGCCCTCGGGGTTTGCTGATGGGCTGGCTGAGGAGCGGGGCAGGAAGAGTTCAACATGGATCCAGGTGCTTGGATTCACCTGAGGGAAGTGAGGAAGACTGGCAGGAGCAAGCTGTAGGGAACATCAGGAACTCCATGTGGGCGTGTTCATCTGAGTCTGGGTGAGACCATCAGCAAAGGTCAAGAAGCAGCAGGATTTCTAAGTCCAGAGTGCAGAGAAGACAGAGGCTCGGCCTGGAGGTGTGAATTTGGAAATTTTATGTGCCATACAGCAGGAAGTCAATGCAGTGCTCAGAAAAGTCCCCAAGAAAGTATACTAACTGAAAGCCCATCCTAAGACTCATCCAGAAGAAAAAGTGGATTTTTTAAGGACAAGAATTTTTTTTTGGTGGGACTGGGGTTTGAACTCAGGGCTTCATAGCTGTAAAGCATGTGCTCTAAGGCTTGGGCCACACCTCCAGTCCATTTTGTTCTGGCTATTTTGGAGATGGGGTCTCATGAACTACTTGTCCATGCTGTCCTTAAACCATGTTCCTCCCAATATCAGCCTCCCAAGTAGCTAGGATTATAGGCATGAGCCACCAGTGCTCAGCTAAAGCCAAGAAATTTTTGAAAAAGACAAATGACACCTGACCTACCCTCAGAGCCCATCTCTGGAGGGTCAGGGTTCAGCAGATACTCCCCTTGGGGAGCCTGGTCCGGCTTGCACCTTGGTCTTGACCTTCCCAGTCTCCCTATTTTCTGCCAATGTAGCAGTGCATTTTCTTAAACGTCTATAACAAATTTCATTAGGCTTTTTCAGTTGTGTTCCTCAGGAAGGAAGCATCTGGAGTTACCTTGCTTGCCGTATTGCCAGACATAGAAATTTTCCGTGGAAAAAGCACTATTTTCTTCACGTGTATGTGTTGTCCCTTAGTACACACTTCTGAACGGCTATTCTGAGCCTCCGGAATCTCTGAACTCTGTTAAAAAAACATTAGCTTACAATATCTCTGCAGAAATCGTGACCCCCAACAACACAGCTCTTTCAGCAAGGGCAGTCCTGTCTGCAAAAGTAAAAAGATTTAGTCGCAGGTATTATTTTGGAATACTCTTTCTGACTCACCAAAGCACATTGTGACCTGATGTCTTTATGTCACTGTGCTGTGTCGGTTTGAGAAGCTTCTGCATACAAAGATGCTTGCTGGGTTTTTTTCTTGTTTTTGTTTTTGTTTTCTGGTACTAGGGTTTGAACTCAGGGCCTCACGGTTGTGAGGCAGGCTCTCTACCACTCGAGCCACTCCACCAGCCCTTTTTTGTGTAGGGTATTTTCAAGACTGGGTCATGTGAACTTATTTGCCCAGGCTGGCCTTGAACCACAGATCCTCCTGATCTCTGCCTCCTGAGTAGCTAGGATTACAGGTATGAGCCACCTGCGCCCAGCTCTAGACTTGGGTATTTAGTGGGTTAGAATCTAGCCTATAGACATAACTTCAAAATCTTGTTTTTCTCTTCTTCTTCTGGCAATACTGGAGTTTGAAATCTTAGCGCCATGCTCTGCTACTTGAACCGCACTTCCAGCCCTTTTCGCTATAGGCTATTTTTTCAAATAGAGTCTAGTGCTTTTGGCCCCGGCCCAGCCCTAGGCCTTGAGCTTCCTTACCTATGCCTCTTGCATAGCTGGGATTACAGATCTGGGCCACCATGCCTTGCTTACTGATTGAAATGGGGTCTTGCTTTTTGCTTGCGTAGGTCTGGAACCACAATCCTTCAACCTTAGCTGGAATCCCAGCTCTGTTCTTATCCAGCGTCTGGACATGCTTAGCCAGTCTGTCCATTCGCCTTCTGAAGGACGCTGTTGTTGCTCCCAGGTTTGGGCGATCCTGAATAAAGCTGCTATTTCAGCTCGTTCAAGTACAGCCACACACCACTGAATGACAGGGACAGGTTCTGAGAAATGTGTCCTTTATCATTGAGTTCGTCATTGTGCAAACATCATGATGCATGCTCAGGGAGACTAAGGCAGCTATGACCTCACCGGGCAAGAGAATCTGTGGGGCCACAGCTGGATATGTATGTGATCTGTCGTAGACTGGAATGGGATCAAGTGGCCCTTGACTTTTCCTCTTTTGTTCCCTGGTTCTGATACTCAATCTAGCTGTAATCCCAGCTACTCTGGAGACCGGAGGCTGAAGGAGCTCACGTTGAAGACCAGCCCCAGCGAAGTTATGGAGACCCTATCTCAAAAACAAGATAAAAGCTAGAGGGCAGAGGGATTTGTCTTTCAAACAGCGGAATACCTGCCTAGCAGGTTCAAGGCCCTGGGTCCAATCCCCAAAACCACAAAAAAAGTAAACAGGTGTCATTTCACACCCGCGAGGACGAAACAACAGACAACAAAAACCAGAGCATAACAAGCGCTGGTGAAGACGTGGGAAAATCGGAGCCTTCCTACCCTGCTGTGGGAACGTTAAATGGCGCGGGGCAAGGAAACCAGTTTGGAGGTTCCTTAACTTTTTAAATGTACTGTTATCGTGTCTGGTCGTTCTAGTCCTAGGCATTTATCCAAGAGAAATGAGAAACTGTATATCCACAAAGCCCTTGTAGAGTGCAGGTACATTTGCAGTGACTTCATTCATGACAGTCACGGGCTGGAAACAAACGTCCATCAAACAGGAAATAGACAAGATGTGGCATATTTAGAGAGTAGACTACCACTCAGCAATAAAAAGGGACAGATTACTGATACGTACAGTAACAGGGCTACCTCTCAAAAACATACTGAGTGAAAGAAATCATCAGAGGTCAGCCGGACACTTCTATTTATATAAAGTCTGGATAGATGAAATTCATTTATTGTGAAAGAAAATCAAGCGGACAGTGGCCTCTAGGGGTGGTGATGGAGACGGACTAGAAAGAGACATGAGGGAACTTTGTGGAGTCAGAAAGTGTTGTATGTCCTGACAGGGGTTTGGGTTTCTCACGAAACACACACTCAGGTGTCTACAGCCTAATGTACATAAATTAATGCTTTTTGTTTTCAGTACTGGGGCTTGAACTCAGGGCCTTCACCTTGAGCCACTCCACCAGCCCTTTTTTGTGATGGGTTTTTTCAAGATAGGGTCTCACGGAACTATTTCCCTGGGCTGGCTTTGAACTGAGATCCTCCTGATCTCTGCCTCCTGAATAGCTAGGATTACAGGCGTGAGCCACTGGTGCCAGGCAAATTAATGCATTTTTAAAGGAAGTGAATCCTTGACATCTGCCCTGAAGAGTCTGAATTGTTCAGAGGAGGGGACCTTGGCTGCAGTCCAGCCTCCCTGGCAGGATGAGCCCCCATCCCTTCCTCAGGTCTGTGGTGACTGGTCCCAGCACTGGCCCTGAGGTAGTCACAGAGAGGAAGGATGTGGTGAAAGCCGAGGCTGGTGAGGGTGAGGAGGTGGGCCGGGTCCGGTTTCCTCAGTAAAGCAGGGGGACTGTACGGGGGGTGGGGAGGGACGGAGGGAGGCCAAAGAGGGCAGCCGAGGCTTCGTCTTCTCTCGCTTTCAAAGAGCTCAAGGGCCTGAGAGGGCAGCGAGCCTGAAGACGCAGAGTTCCTTGATGGGCCTGGCAGGGGCGGGCCTGGGAGGGCCCGGCTTTCAGGCCCCGCCAGCCCTGAGCATCTGCAGGCAGGAGAGCCATTTGTCATTGTGTGGTGGCCTTCAGTCTGCTGCACTCCTGGAGCAATACACGGGAACAAAGGCCCCAGAGCCCAGTGACTTGAGGCCCCTCAGACGTTTTAGATGCTAATAATGGCCAGAGCTGGGCAACAGATGGAACAGTCATTGTGGCTGGAGGAAAGAGGTGTGTGTGTGGGGGGGTGCTTCCAGAAATTCTCCAGGGACCTGGGGACCCTCCTCCACAGCCAGACTCCATGCTGCCCACTCAGCGCCCACAGGGCCATCTGACAAGACAAACTGCAGTGCCAAGGCACACATGTGGCTGGCAGGATGTGCCCTCCATGTCAGGAAAGGACAAGGACACACACCTTCCCTGAATCCCAAAACTGTGAATATGTGGCACAGAGGGGCCGGCCAGGGCAAGGCCAGTACCCCACAGTCAACACAGGGACACTCAGGTGCTGCTAACAAGAGCCCCTAAATGTTCTCCCTCACACTGATGGAATCAGGTATCCCCGTGTCCTAGAAACCCCCATAACGTCATAAAAAGATGTTCATAAGTAGTTATCCAAAGCAGATGGAAATTTATATCTGTGATATGACCCCATATTTGCTATTTAAAAAATATATATGTATACATACATGAGTGAGAAGGGCCAGGAGTGGTGGCTCATGCCTATAATCCTAGCTTCTCAGGAGCAGAGATGGGGAGGATCAAAGTTCCAAGTTCCAGGCCAGCCTTGGCTAAAAGTTAGTGAGGCCGCATCTTAACCAACAAGCCAGGTGTGGTGGTGCAGGTCTGTGATCCCAGATACTAGGAAGTATAAGGAAAAGATAAAAGTCCCAGGCTTAGCCCCAGGCAAAACCTTAATATCCTATCTGAAAAATAACAAAAGCAAGTCAGACTGGCAATGTGTGTTAGTCTGCCTACCAAGCACAGAGCCTTCAGCTCAAACCCCATTCCCAACCAAAAGGAAAAGAAAGACAAATATGTAAGAATATGAGAAAGTTGGGATTACAGGGATCCTCTCACTTTCTTTTTCCTTGTTTCCATTTTTCAAGTTTTCTAAAATAAGTATATAGTGCTTTTATAAGAAAAAATAATTTTATTAGTAAGAAAAATATAAAGAAAACATTTTAAAAAGTTTAACAGATGAGGGCATAGCTCAGTGGTAGAGGGCTTGCCTAGCGTGTGCAAGCCTGGGTTCAGTCCCCAGCACCAAAAAAAAAAATTGAATTAAAAGCAAACATAAACACAAAGGTCCCTCCCTTACTCCTGCCGCATGTGTGAAATGCCCACATCTCCAAGTGGTCCTGGGGGGCCTGGGCTCCCAGGAGGAGGTATCCGTGTCCTTTGGTCCAGAGCCCATCGGCTCACACTTCTGGCTTTACAGAGGTCTCCAGCCAAGCTCCTCAAGGAAAACGCTACCAGCCTGTTAGCAGTGAGAGGGATGTGGCCGGTGTAGTCATTTCCAGGAAACCCTTGTGGCAGCAACATTGAAGGGCTGACATCAGTGGGACGATGACAAACACAGGGGCCCTTGGGGTTTTTTGTTGTTGCTTTGCTTTTCTGCAGTGCTGG